ATAAGTATAATGGAGACTTAAATATTTGTAATGTATAAATTTTTATTTGATCAACTATTTTTCATACATTAAGTGTGCATCATAGTACCTAAACGAGTTGAACTCATGCTCACTTTAATTTTAAATATTACTTTTAAGATTAAACAATTTCCAAAAATTACAAAATCTTATGTCAAAATGAATAGTCCAATCCTTATAATTTCAATGATGACAAGAACTTTATGAGAATGAGTCAAATTAGCTCTAATAGTAGAAGTATCTTATCTGGTGCTAAACTTAACAACCATTATTTTGCTATATGCTTTACAAAGTAGAGGGGCATAGGCCTCCACCATCACCACTTTAAGAAGTGGGAGGTGAATCATCTAACTAGTCCTAATTGCTCTTCTTTTCAACCAATGATTCATGTTATTAAATGTCCCACTGCAAGTTCATGTCAAAATATGGAATTATCAAAATTGTTGTGACCTAAATAAACAGTTTCCTTTCACAGAAAAATATGATTTATCACACAATTTTATAAAGTCCATAAATATGATACACTAACCAACTTGGAATTGCTTTTGTCTCTCTTATTGTTTATATATGTCAACTCTCTTGTCATCCTTTATTGCAAATTATTAAATTTTATTTTCCTAGAAAATACCCTATCCCATATAATAATTGATAGAACGCCATCACATCACCACCATTAAATTTTGACTAACCTTGATTAATAAATTAAGTACCCAAAGAAGGGATCATTCAGTCACTTTTTTATTATGGTCATGATTTTATCCATATTTTATTAATAAGAATAAATATACTCACTTATAATTTGAATAATAATTTAGAATCTTTTGAACTTTCAAAACACAAGGAATTTCAAAGTGAGACAATGTATGAGTCATAATTTTTTTCTTATATAAGGAACAAATTAACAATGTTAAAAATATGTTTAACTTTTCTCATTCTAATTTATGACCAATATTGTTAGTTTTAAAATTTTGAGTTAGTTTATTCTTCTCAAATTTTTTATGATAATTTTAAAAATTTGTATATTTTTAATTAATTTATTTATTTTACTTATTATTTAAAATGATTTTAATAGAGTTTATAGTAAAATTTTGTACATTTTTTTTTTTGGCAAAATCAAATTGTATAATTTTGTGCTATGTAAATATAGTAGGAATATAACATTTTGACTTTTTTAGATATTCCTAATCAATCTTTTGTCATAATTAGCCCAATTTTGGTTGACTGGTCTTAAAAAATAATTTTAATGTTTATATAACTTTTATATTACTGATTAAATATAAGAATCATAATAATTTGTTATTTTGTCATATGATTTATAATAAATATTTTATTTTTCCCAGAATGTTTTATAAATCCAAATTACAAATGCTATGAAATTTAAATCTAATAAAAATATCACAAATAAAAAGTTTAAATTAAATTAATTAAAAGTAAATAATTGTTTTTTACTCAATACTTATTTTATTATATATAAAGATAGAAGTTTTAGTTGGGGCATATGCTTATTTTATTAAGTAAGCAAAAGTTTTAGTATTTTAGGAAATCCATTTTTTGATAAGAAATGGGAAAGAGACCATCATAGTTGAGGCCAATGGAATTAAATAATAGGGAGAAACATAGAAGAGCCTATAGGAGAGGCAAATGTAATGATCCTGTTTGATTGAGAAATTAAGGGAGGTGGAGAGAGAGGGAGAGGGAGAGGGAGAGGGAGAGGGAGATAAAGTATAAGCATATATGCAAGAAAATCTTACAAGTTAGCAAATATGTAAATCCTTATGAAGATGAAGATGGTGAACAACTTGTGAATAATAAAATTATCCCTGAAATGTTTATAAACCATAAATTATCAAGCATAAACACTCAAAAAAATCTGAGTTAGTGATCCTATGGTGAGTACTAAAAGCCTCATTTTTACTATTGGAATTCATCCAAACTAACGGGTGCATGAGTCATGAGTGTCTCCACTATGGATATTTTTGGTGTTAACAAATCTATCTCGTATATATCTTCATTGTATAATTCATATGAATGGATTAACACATCTCTCTATCAGTTTCAAGCCATATATTCTCCCTTTCTTCAAAAAATGTACTAATTTACCCTCATTTGCTTTTTTCTTTAGATTCTACCTCCTTCATCTCCATAAATAAGGATATGCTAGTTATTCTTGGTTTCTTCACCATCATTCAACACTATATCTAATGTCTTAGGGTCTTAGTGGCTTTTCATCTTGGAGGAGGATATATTTAATCATTTTTATTACCATTAATGAACTCAATTGACAGTCACACTGCCGTTAGTTCTATAATCATACTAAGTTAACTCGCATATTAGCCACCCACCGTATAAACTTATACTAAATGGAGTAGCTTGTATATGTTCAAAGCAAATGAATAAGTTGTTTTATAGGTTGTTGTATCTTGCATTAGAAGTCTAAAGACCTAATTGCCATAAGAACATAAGTTCAATCTGTGAAGCGCACATTTAGATACATACATCGTCATGCCTAGTTTGCATTAATAAATATAAGTCTAACTCCATGAAGCGCAAGTTTTCATACATACATCGTCATGCCTGGTTTGCATTATAAAATTTAAAATGATTTAAAATAAAAATTAGGTCATAAAATTAAATAACTAAATTAAAAGTAGAGAAAACTTTAAAAGTTTAATCCTTTTCTAGAAAAAAAATTTGAGCTTTATTTTCTTCTATTTAAACTAAGAAGAATATAAGAAAGAAAATGACATATAGAAACGAACAGAAAAGCAGAGGGAAAAAAATGAGTTTGAAGGTCTTGACATATTTTTTCATTGCTAAAAATTTGAAAAAAAAATATTTGGCTTAGGATAAGTTATTATTATCCTACATCTATTTTCAATATGTTAACTCTTGCGTGTTTTCTTCATTTTTAGTTTGGCAAAAACATAGGAAAATTAATATATCTTCTTTCTTTAGAGACTTTCACGATATAATATTTAGTATGTTTTTGCTATAATTTTTAAATATATTTTTAGAGAATCATATTGAAATTTCAAATAATATTTCTTTTTTTTAGATATATATCCTAACTTGAGTTATATAAATTTATTTTAAAGTTTGATAGAATTATATCACTACGTAGTAGAATACTACATTAAAGCTTATTGTAGTTCACATTTTATAATTTGTGTCATTAAATTCAATAAACCCCATTGCTCCTAGTTTAAATATATTTTATATGCCCAATAATTAACAAGATGAGATAAATGCTTGGTATGACATTAATTAATGTTAATGTACCATATATGTTATGAAATATGTCTATGTAATAAAGATAGGCTACTGTGAATCATTTTGACAAAAAACAGTTATCTTATACAAAAGAAATTTTCAAAAGTGGGTTACTTTACAACAGTTATCATAAAGCTTGGACTTAATATAATTTGAGTGCCATTGCATTGCGGGCAATGACTCTCATGTATAATATCATTTAACTAAATTTGTTGATATATATGACATAATACTACATATCATTTACTTTAATTTATACAAAAAAATAAACTTTATTATATAACATGATTAGTTATAAAACCTCACATATGTTGTATATATGTAATGATAAACACCAATTATAATCATGTATGTCATATCATGAGTTATATTGACTACTATTAGCTCTATAACATGGTATCTTATAACATCATGACTCTAAAATAATATAATTTGATCATAATTTATATTCTATATTTGATATCTACACAAAAGTGTAGCATAAATAGTACTTGTTCAATATATGTTTATTATTTTAATAATATGATTATCAGTAAGCATATTATTCTATTTTCATGCATTGAATATAGTTGCAGGGTTTTGTATAGTCTACTAGGTTTTTTTCTCACAAAATTACTGTAACATATTTTGTTAAAAAAATATAATGTTACGGTGGAATGAGGACGTTAATCGTACTTATAAAGACATCTTTTGTTGATATAGATGAACTCTTTTGACATCATAAATGATTATATTTTATTTGATTTATGAAACAATATGATCATGGTATAAAAACATTTAAAATATAAATTAATTTTATGTATGTAAATATATGTTGGATGATGATATCTACTTTATTATTGAGATTATTTGCGGTTGAGTGAGAACATTAGTCTTACTAATAGAGGTATATTTTGTTAATATAGATGAGCTCTTTTGAAATCATAAAATGATTTTTTATTTGATTTATTAAAACAATACAATTATCATATAAAAATATTTAAATAGTAAATCAATTTCATATATGTAAATACATATTGGATGATGATTACTAAATTAGTGAACTCCTGTTAAGTTTAATAAATTAGTGAACAATTTTAAGAGGAAAAGCTTTTTAGCATGTGATTACAATTGATTATAGTTTATGTAAATAATAAATAAATAAAATGATAAATACATAAATAAATTCACACTAATTTAGAGACATGATTTAAATCAATTCAAGCTTGAGATTTTTTGTATGATTTACTTGGTCAACTATAGAGAGTACTAAAATAACTCACATTCTAAGCTAGCTAAACATATTCTACTTGCTTGAATCTTCACTTGAGACCATGAATTGCATCATCAAGTTCATCCTCCAAGCGACTAGCCTCTACATTAGGCTAACCATCTTAATCACAATGATTTTCACAAAATAACTAACTTATTAAAAAATTATTTAGCAAATCATTAAATAGCACCCTAGAATACTTTATACTAACAAATCCAGCTCACATGGATTCAAACAATCTAACCATGTTTATTAACCTTAAAAACTTTTCAAGGTCACCTTTACAAATTACATCCAGAAGAAGTCTGACCTATTAATGCCACCTTAATAATCTAATACATCATTAGTAATGATTGTTTTTTTGCTTAACTACTATCATTTGACATGCACAGCTGCATGTGTAGAACATGATTTTGATGATTTCATGAAATTTGCTTAAAAAATATTTCATGAAAATGGCTTTTACTCATAAAGAACCCCAAGCAATGAATTCTATTGAAAATATTATAGTCTTAAGGTCACAAGTTCAAAATAAAAAAAATAGCCTCCCTTCAAATATAAAGGGTGAAAAGTTTGTATGAATCAATACAAATTTTACAGAAAGGTGCCCTTACTTCAGTAATAAATGCATTTTAAGGCTTTTATGTGAATCTGGTTCCGCGAATAGCATACCAAGTAGCTAGCGCTGGAAGGAGATGGAATATGAGCCTGTATTGGGGTCTTTCACTGCTTTGAAGTTGTCGACGCTCATTCCAAATCTCCCCAATATACTGTTTCCCATGTCTTTCAATTTTCCTGCATCAATTAAGAGGATAAAATTTTGTTTATTCTATGTGCTCGATGAATAAAAATGTATATTTATTAAATAGCGGAATGTGACCAGAGATTTCCACCAAGCATAGGTAGAACATGTAGTTATAAAACTGCAGCTACTGATTCTTCCATTGAACTGCTGATGAGGTGAAGTAATGTAGGTATTAAAATATACATTACACTAAAAGGTTTAGAATTTGTATGATAAAGATTACTAAAAGATTAAATGAAATGTTATATGCTCTCTCTCTCTCTCTCTCTCTCTCTCTCTCTCTCTCTCTCTCTCTCTCTAAGAGATAGGAGTGGGGGGGCGGGGAGGAAATTATTCATAAAGTTTAGATTTGGTGATTTAAATAGAGAAGTGCCATACGAATAGTATCCCTTCAGAGAATATCATGGTGAAAGTAAGGTTTCACAAAATGGAGCTAAGGCCAGCTATATGTATGTTGGAACTGCCTTATTGGGCTGGGAATTAAATAATAACTAAAATCATTGTTGGACAAGTAAAACCAACAATAAACAAGGACTTTAAGATGCATACATGGCACACGAATAACAAAAAAATAAAAATTAAAAAAAAAACTGTGAAAATATCATTTAGTGAGGATAAAATAATGAAAAATATGCTTATATGGTTTGGAAATATACAAATAATTGTAACATATACACCAAAAGATTAGTAGAATACATCTAATTGCAGATAAAGAACTATAACTGAGCTCAAGAAATCATTAAATATCCTAATTTTACCAATCATCTCTTCCTTCATTTTCTCTCGCTTCTCTGTTGCCAATGGCTCCAGCCGCCTTATATTCCTTGTTGCTTGCTCATACGAAGGATCCAACTCAATGATCTTCTTCATGTCTGGATACATTTAAAAGTTCAAACCAGAACAAAACAATAAAGGTTGTGAACAAACACATGACTATCCTAAAGGGATCAGAAAATAGCAAATAACAGAAACATGAGAAGCAACACAACTTTATTGAAGCTTACCAGCAATGGCCTCCTCATAGTGCTCAAGCTTTTCATGAGCCTCCCCCCTTCTAAATAGAGCTTTAACATAAGAAGGATTTAACTCCAATGCTTTGTTAGATTCTTTAATGGCATCATCATATTTTCCCTATATAGTTTCAGAATATAATTAGATTAGAGAAAAAGCATCCTTTTAGAGCAACAGAAAGCCAATTTAAAAAAATGCTTAATTAACTTGAAGTTAAAAAGAAGTATTTCAAATATAAATGGCAACCTATAAGACAAAACAGGTAACTACGAGAATCTTTTGTTTGAATCACATTGGGAAAGCCTTGGAAACCCCTAAAAAAGTAGGATCAGTGTTCTAATCTGTAAGAGGAGCAAAGAAGTGCAAAATAAATAAATAAATGTATACTACAAATGCAGACTCCAAGATTCAAGAACCAGGAGCTTGGTACTATTGTATGGAACAATAAATATCAAAAGAATAAAAATTAAGCAATCAAATAATAATAACCCAAATTTATCTCAAGTTTCGGCTTATTCTCGGCCAATGAAAAACAGATGCAGCATAGATCAAGCAGATAAACACATATTTCATGCGCCTGCAACATTTGGCAATCTTTCACTAAGTTAACGGTTTTCAACCATATAGAACATATCCAATCTACATCAAACTTTCACCTCATGTGTAGTTTTAAACCAGATCTAGTTGAATGCACAAACAAGTTTCAGGAAGCAAACAGAACCTGCAGTTTACCTAACAAATTTTCCAAATCTTCTAAAAATAACTAAAGTTTTGGGCACACTACATATTTAAATTTTTGCTAGAACCTTCACATGCTAACAAAGACTCAAATAATCGATGGTGACGTTACAAAATTTAAATTTTTGCTACAACCTTCTCATGTTTGATATCACCATTAAAATTGCAAAAGGCGCTTCACAGAAAAGCCAAACCCCACATACCTTTACCTCTTTAAAGAGGTGAAGACAACTCTAACGGAGCATATCTGTGACTCTAAAGAATGAAGATAGTCCAGATACTGTATTAATGAATACCAACTCAAAAAATCTCAAAAGATTTAGCCAAACACCATAAGTCTGCCAAATAACATCTCCTATTTAAAAACTTCAATAGTAACAGTGTTGATTCTTGCTAAAACGATTGACAAAGACAGATGGTTAAGGGATCAAATCTGACACACACACACACACAACCACAAGGAGAGCTAGACAAAGAAGTTGAGAAAAAGAGCGAGCGAGCAATGGTGAGAGGAAGACCAAGAGCAAGCGATAAAAAGTAAGAGAGACCAAAAGCAGGTGAGAAAGAAAGGAAGAGTGAAAGAGAATTAACAAGCAACGGCAAAACAGAGAGTGAGTTGACGGTCAAGTACGAACATGGTGATGGGAATCCAGATTAGAGTTGTTCCCATTAATTTTATTCCAAATCTGAGGTAAGGATTGACCTAAACTTTCAACTGCAATTTGGTAAACCTTTGGTTTGGTCTTTAATTTGCAAATTAATTTTGCTAGGACGTTTTGAATGTAAAGAGGGATAAATCAAGAAGAAAATAAGAAGATTGGAAAGAGGTATATAGGAATTTAAGGTATGCAGATTAGCTAGAAAGTATCATTGACGTGGGACGGGGAGAGGACCCTAGACCAGTTCGCTCCAAGTGGGAGAGGGCCGGTCGGCCTTCTCTTAGGGCTAGGGTTGCCACCCACTTCTTATGGCAGAAAGGGCATTTTTATTTGTTTGCTTTTATTAGGTTTAAGTTGTTTGTTGATTATAAATATGTGGTAGTTTATTGTATTAAGAGTTTTTTGTTCATTTGAATTTCGTGAGGGCTAGTCCTCCCTTTGAGGTTCCCGGATGGGGACGAGTCACCATCCACGACGTTTGGTGGTGGCAACCAATGTTGTGAAAACCGTACTGGACCGGCCGGTTCAACAGGTTAGACCGCGAACCTGCTCCTCTACCGGTCCAGTTGGCTAATTGAATCTGCCAAAGCAAAAACCGGGATCGAACCGGCTTGGATTGTCGTTCAATGGGATAACAAGTTGCTTTGATCCTTCAAGCGAAACAAAGAGGTCTCAGCATCTTGCGTCACCCTCCCGTCTCCATCTCTCAAATGATAGAAGCAGAGCGAAGGGGGAACAAAGGGGTCCCAAAACTCTCCCATTCGGTAATTATATTCCTTCCATTCTCCTCCTACCAGAAACCATTGACGAAGGCAATTGGTAACCCTTCTTCTTTCCCCCTTCTTCCTCCTGCATTCTTGCTATTTAGCTTCCCTAAATTTCCACACAGTATTGATAATTTTTCTTTTTTAAATCGCACTGTATAATTAATATTTAGAAACTCATGAATAACAAATCTAGAAGGACGGCAACTAGCATGTTGTCATTTTAGACATGCAAAATAGCAAGTGATAAATGCCTGCAAATTGAAAAAAAAAAACCCATGGTGATTGGATGTAATGTACACAACAAAGATCCTTAGAATACCTAAAGAGCTTCTGCTATTGAGAAAAACCTTCAAATTTAAGCACTCACAGCAAAAGAACACGAGATAGTCAGCAAGATTTCCTCACAAATGTAAAGAGCTTATATGCTTCTGCTAATTTTGGCCTTTTCCGATTAAAATTATATTGATTAAATATGCAATTATGGTAATTAAACCAGTTAATATACAGTTGAAGGAAAAACACACTATTACTGGAACAGATTTTTCCAATAAAATTAAATGGAATAATACCAATTTTGAGAAGCAAACAGCCCGATTTGCATGGCACATTGATCGAACTTCTTCAGAAGAAGGAACTTCAGAAGCAATTTGCAAAGCAGATTCATATTGTGATAATGCCTCGTCATATAGTCCAGACCCGAATAGCTTATTTCCTTCTGCTTTAGCATTATTTGCTTGGTTCAATGCTTTCTGAAAAATATTCATAACTTGCATATAGAGTTCCACGTTAAAAAAACAAGACATGTAAGGCCATATAATTTAATTTTGTACATATTAAACTTTGCCAACTTACAGCTATTAAGCTATCATATCATATACGCCACAGTTAACTTTCCTAATTTCCAAATGAGGACTATTCCACATTGAAATTAGGGCTGTCAAAACGGCTCGTTGATCGCAAACAGCTCATGTTCGGCTCATTTTGGCACGAAATACGTGTGTGTGTGTGTGTGTGTGTGTGACTACAAGGCTATAAATATCTTTGATGAGTAGTATTTTTAAAAAACTTAGTTGACTACAAGGCTATAAAGATTTATAATCAATTATAAGTATTAATTAAGAAAATAGAATAAAATTTATTAGATAAGATTCAAATGATGTTTTAATATAAACAATAATTGTTAAATATTGTCCCAATCCTTAACATCTTATGGCTATCTGATTAGGGTTGTCAAAACGAGTTTGTTCGTGAACGGCTCGTGTTCGGCTCGCTAAGCAAACGACCCCGGGTTGAGCCTGGGCTCGCCCGTGTTCGGCTCATTTACACCCCTAATTGAAATTAGAAAACAGCGAGACACAAAAAAAGTTTGGTGGAGACTGTAACTCTTGATTTCCAAATGAGGACTCATCCATATTGAAACTTAGAAAAAGCGGGACACAAAAAAAGTTTGCTGAAGACCGTAACTCTTGATTAATCTGATTAGATGTTTGATTTTTTGTTAGTGCTTATTCTACTTAAATTTTCTGCAGCAACAAATTTTAAGCCAGCCATGTAATAGTATCGATCTATGCCAAATAAAAAAAAAAAAAAAACCATTCCGTTTCCTATTTTGATTGTTCGTGTAATGGCCAAATGCTGCCATCCATTGAATACTTGTCACTGTTTACAATTATTGTTGTACTTCTGATCCATTTTTTACCATGCTAAATGATTTCTGGTTTCAATTCATGCTCAAAATACTAATAGAAGAAGAAAGCTAGAGATAAGGGCAGGTTGACAAAATACTAGTTACTTAACAGCATCAAGAGCAAACCTAGAGGCGACCCCAAAGTTTACTTCTTTGGTTATGAAAACCAAAGATACCATGCCAATTCTTAGCATAAAAAATGCTCCAGCAAGTGCTCATAATCCATAAAGTGATGTTAATGAAAAATCACTTTATCTTCGTCCCTTGGTCTTTAATACATGAGCAGAACTAATGCAGTTGATTTTATGCGATAAGATTGATGCAGCACAACCTTGATTTAAAATCATATATAGCTGTCCAATATCCATACGAAGAGACGTGTTGGGCATGTGGAACTCTCCAGAGATTGTCTTCACAGTGTTCCCAATTAAATTCAAATTAAGTATGAGTGGAAAAAAGTCATCATACCAAAGGATAAACTCAATTAGTGGAATGGTGCCTTTAAGGTTAACAAATAAGCCAAGCACTTCAAGGATAGTTTTGATTTGTTCCATACTTTCAAAAGCATATACCTCGTCTACTTTGATGGCAGTTAAATCTACATAAAAACCATGGAAGATCATCCCATTCAGTTGTGAAAAGATCCTAAGACCATGTAAAGCGACAACGTCATTTGAAGAAGAGCATATTAATAAAACTACTTAATGATCTAATCAGGTCTTCTTATGTCAAAATAGGTGTTGAATCTAACAGTAATATGGTTAAAATCATTAGAAAAACTCTCGTTATAGAAAGTTCAAATGAGTTTCAAAACTACAACAAATGCATCCAAATTTTAAAAATGCAACCTGAATCAGAAATAATTGATCAAGACCGAGCATCAAGAAATTGGACAGGCAACCATGATAAAAATTAGGAAGATTTACATAAATACCACTTAATTCCTAAGTATTTACATATCCAACACAAACTTCAATTTTTACACAAATATTAGGTTACCTGTGCATGAAAAGGTGTATTTCATTTTTTTTAAAAATAAAATAGTGGTATTTTTATGTGATATTAAAGATTTAAGTAGTATAAGTGTATAAAATAAAATATAGGTATTAGATATGTAAAACAGAAGAGGTGGGTGGTATGTCATATTCAATATTTTACCTCGTTTAGCTGCTCTTCCGTTAAAGCGTCCTCAAACCGTTCATCTTCGCTTGCTGATCCCTCTTCCGGAGTTAGGGGCTCTGCTGACTCCACCGTATCTGTCGATGCCGACCTTGGTTTATGGCGGCTTGTAGATGCCTCCTCCTCCACTTCAGGTTCGATTGCTGGTTCTATGACCACCATCGTTCTAAAATTGACGTTGTAAGAATAAAACTAACAGAACTAGTGATATAAAAATGGAAGAGCAACCAAAGCTTTGAACAACAATCCTCATGGTGCTTAAGGGTGTGTTTGTTTCGGCTATAGCTACATAAAATTTCAGTTCAAAAGCTGCTGTGAAAAATCTGTTGCTCAAAATCTAGTGTTTCAGAAGCAATTGGTCTATTTGAAAAATACAGTTTTAAAAGTGCTTTTTGTGGACAGCCGTCTGAAATACCAATTTGCTGACATTATATAGAATTCATAGGTATTTTTAATGTATGTAATTCTTGAACTTTACTTCATTTTCTAAATAAGTAGAAATATAAAAGTAAAGTCAAAATTAAAATATATGAAACTATAATTGAATTACAAGTGGATTACCTAAAAGAACATTCAGAAAAAACAAGTGGATTACCCAATAATAGGAAAAAAAATACAATCATGAAAGTATAAGGGCTCTACTCCAAGCTCAGATCGACCTTCATCAGCTCTTTTTACATAATTACCAAAATGGTCATTGATGACATTAGAAATGTTGATAAAGCTCAGCATTGATCATATCTTACAACTAAGACAAAAGTAAGATAGATTGCAATCATACGTTTATTTTTAACATTACAATCATGCCTAAGTTGAAAATTCTCATAAAGATGCAAATATTTTAATGTTTTCATCATATTGTCTTATTGAATTATCCATTTGTATAATGCATGATCTACAAAGAAATATTCACAAAAATGTTGAATTATGTGAAATATAAGTCTACTAAAAATGTGAATTGAAGAAATAAAGAATTCAAACCATATGATAAAGTAATAATGTGTCACAGCCTGGAAAGATTTCCTACAAAATCCATATAAATTAACAACGAGAAAAAAAAAGACCATATAAAGACATGCAAGAATTTAGAACAAATGCTTAACAACTTCAAATCCCCAAAATCATGGTATTATTCCAATTTTTCATGTATCCATCTTAACTTTATATCATGAAGTAGCAACCAATGCCTTGAATTCTTCTCTTATTTGTTCTTCTTTTTAGAAACTCACATTCAAGACATCGCCAACACACATTTCAAATAATCATGCTAATCTTGTGAGGATTATTGAAAATAAAATCATATCCACTAACTGACATCACAGATACATACTTTATTTAATCATTTATGGATATTTATGTATAAAATCCAAGGTCTATGCTTAGATATATGTGCAAAACGTCAACTAAATAATTCATTGCAGATAATATTGTTAATCAAAGCAAATTGATGCAACGCCTTTCTCCTGGTTCTCCATTTAAAATAGTAATAGAGTGGTTCATTTCTTGGTTCCTTTCTATTGTTTGATTCTTTCTTATTCTATTTAGCCTATGATTTTCTATCTAATAGGAACGAGTCCTTTTAATGAGAAACCTTACTAAATCTATAACAAATTTTCAACGATAAAAATGGGACCGTCAATGTTGTTTAGCGCTTAGGATAGAAAAATCTATAATATCTCATCCACCGCCTAATGCGCCCAAGCGAGCGCTTTGTTAAAAGATGTCAAATATAAAGGCGAGTTATATAAAAACAAATTAATATGGTATACGAAAAGAATATCAACATCACAATAAACAAGTATATACCCTTGAAAATAAGATGATAAAAAATATGCCCAAGAATGGTAAGTCTAGAAGCAATAGAACTTGACAATAAAGAGTGCAACTCCAAAAAATTAAAAAGAAAACAGAGAATTGATTGAGATTTATATATCAAAAGATAAAAAAGGATGTTATTGATAATAAACATATAAAAATAGCAAAGAAGATTAGATTAAAGCTAATATAAACAAGCTACTAAAATTAAGAATTTTAATTGCACTCATTCAAATAACATACTTAGTAAAATTTCAAAGTTTAAATGCAATGAGCATAAAATTTATGATTTTGCCCAACATAATATAATATGACGACAATAATTTCAAAGTCTTTACTCGAATAACTCATGATTAAATAAATTAATAAGCAAAAACTACTTTCCAGACCCCTCGCCACTCTCTTCCACTTCCTTAAGCAAGCGCTTATAATATAATGTGATGAGTATCACTTGCTAATCTTTAAGGGTATGTCTCATAATTAGATAATTTAAAAAATGACAGCTATTTTTTCAATCCTACACGTCGCTCGAGTGAACGCTTATACTATAAAGGCAATCATATCACTTTTATGGTATGCCTTGCGTTTTTCATATCATTGGGGTCTTCAATTGCAGATTTCGGAGATTTTTGTTGTTTAGTATCAGGAGTCAAGAATTTTTTAGGTTGCATCCTCAACATAAGTGAAAATCCAATTGATTTGTTTATAGAAATGAGCATTTGGCTTTTAGCAAAGACATTCTATTTTGATTACAATAAAAACTCTGTGTTAATGTGTTATCCCCTCAATGCTTAAAGATCTTTTAGAGAGATTATTTCCTTCTAAAAGCAAAAAGGCTTGACTAGGTATTTTTTCCTTAATTTATTTGATTTCTCTAAAACTTGTTATTGATTTGAATAAATGAATGGTTTTATTTAATTTCGATACAACTCAGATTTTTCATGCATGATTTTAATTTATTTACAATGCCTTTATTATGGTTCTTAAACTCTATGCATTGTTTATAGTAGAAAAATGTTAAATTGTCATCTAAATTTTTTTTTTCATTTTTCTTTTCATAATATTAATGAATACTTGCTAAAATTAAGAGTAAGAACTTTAAATTTTTACATGCTATATGATTTTGTACATCTCATAATAAATAGCACCAGAAACACTGTATCCTAAAACTAGCTTCCTAAAATAATTGAAATGTGGAAACGATTGCTAAAATAGCTAATAAAACTAGCTCATTTAGTGAGTGCTAAAATAAGTGAATCAAGTAACTAGGAAGAATTGTAGGTCTCATCAAACAGATGTTGTTGACCTCCAACAGGTGCACCAATAGGCTGGCCAAGAGGTGAGCATTGTGGTAATAGACAAATATGCCCAGACTTTTTTACTATCATTGAACTTAATATTACATTATATAAAGACTTGTTTGTTCCCTATAGTACAATAATGTGATTTGCTTGCAATATAGATGCAATGTTGGGTTGGTTCCAAAAAGTATAAAGAATGTTACATCTCATTTAAAATGAGCAATAATTTTTACTCTTTCTAGCCATGACATGCATCATATGGTCATAATTCACGGTTGTTGACCAGCCTATCGCTTAGCCTATTTATGCAGCCTGATCCCATAACTTTTCTCTCAACACTTTCCAAATTTCCTACATAGCATAGTTTGTGATTTGAGGTACACGTAGTTAGTCAAAAGCAAAAAAGGCAGCTATTTTCCCTCTAATGTCATTGAATTTGTTATTTATATTTCTCTAGGTATTTATATTTTGTATTTATATTTCTCTAGCATGTCGTGCTTCAATTTTTCCTTGAATAAGTTACAAACATGCCTCTATTTTACATGTAATGGTGGTTATTTATCTTTTCTAATTAGGTTCCAAAAAGGTAATTTATATAAGGTGACTAATTAAATAGCAAAGCTCATTGCTTATTGCATCCTTATTATCAAAAGATTTCTTCATATGGTTGGTCAATGATGTCTAGCTTTGATAAGCAAAAAATTCATACTAGTTTACAATAACTCATCTAATTTGTTTTTGCATCATAACATCACATATTTTTCTTTCAATGCCAGTGAGCAAGGAAAGCATTCATATTGATGGCGTCACAAAATTGTGCTCAAAGTTATTATTTTAACCAAGTTAACCTGGTATAGGATAGTAATGTCAACGCAATCACTTTTTGAAACATGGGAAAGAACCTTCACTTATAATAAGAACAAGGTGAGAATGATTTGAGGAAAGGTGAATAATTTGGGTTGTAGGCGAATAGTACCGCAAAAAATATTGTCCTACCTACCCTTGAACAACAATGGAAAGGAAAAGGTAAAACTCTAATAAATAAGGGGTTGCAATTGAGATGATGGGAATGATAAGGTTCTTGTTAAACTATTATAGAGCAACATAGGGTATAAAGTGTTTGATAAACTTCCCATACAATATACTTATGACAAAATAATCAAGCATTTAAATAAGCAAATAAATCTTGAGTACAAGATCAAAGAATTGAAGACGTGGTTTTAAATTATAAGCAACTCTTCAAAAATATTTATAGGCTATCAAGCAGTGGTTGGGACACCAAATAGCATATGTCATCTTGTTTTCATGACCATATTTGTCTAACATACATCTTGTTTATTTGACAATTCACTCCAAAGCTTGTATTTAGTTCATTAATCAAAAAGTATATTTTTGTATTTCATGATAATAATTTGGGTTATATATCATAGTTGTTTCCAAATATTCTTGCATAACAAATGTTTATAAGACTGTCACTTACATTGATTTCTTTGCTCAGAATTTGCTATGCCGTGAGGTATTAGCATTCAGTTGCATGTGGACTACAAAGTACAACCCAAAAGCTACCAAAATTAGGCTGGTTTGGGAAGACAAGAGGAAACTTTTACCAGGAAATATAATAATAGGTCAGAGTTGAATTTCCATTTTAGCCAAAATTTAATGAATGGTAAAATATTCAACTACTCTTCCTAAAGTTGACTAGTCCTTGTCGTAAACTTCACTAGCCGTTATCACAATTATTTTGGTCAGCTATATGAATCCTCATTCTTCATCTATTCATGCTGATTTCTGATAGGATGTTGACCTAAGAAAGTAGTTCAAAACCAGAGCTCATTAATGGCTCTAAGTTTCTATAGTAAAACTAAGCTCATTAGCCTTTCCATATCTCGCAAAAGTAGTTCAAAACTGGACTTAATTAATGACAATAAGTTCCATATCCTCCCTAAACAATTTATACAGAAAAAAAGACAAATTTTGACCAAAGAAACAGAAATAACAAACAATTCATAACCATAAAAAACTACAATTCAGTTTCCTGAGTTCAGATTGAACAATACAGCTGGATTAAATATAATTAGCGAAGAAAGAATAAGCATCTTCAATGCTTCACCAAATACAAAACACCGCAATGAAACCACTCGACGCTTTAAGTTCGACTACAAGTTGGCTTAAAGAATTAATAAACTGGAATTACGGAAGCAGCACAAAGTCGGGCAAAAAACACAAACAGCTCCGCTTCTGAATTCCCAACTTCCAAACCAAACAAAGAAACTTCACATAAAAGACAGATTAAACCCTAAAGATGTAACACGAGAACAAACTACCACCATTTTAAACCCTAGAGGCCGGAATGGAACTAATACGTAACACTACCAAAGGATCCAAGAAGCGGAAAGAAGCAGCACTCACCTATTCCAAAAGAACTGGAGAGTATAAGAATTAGGGCGAGATGGGAAGCAAAATTGAAACAAAACCCTTCTTCCCTATCTTCCTTGTTCACGCGGAATGATTCATTGGAGAAACCCTAGGCTCAGCTCTTCCCACCGTGGCTGGAGAGAGCAACAGGAGAACGCTGGCACGTGCGGCGCGTGTTACGGGGAGTCTTTACTCCGCCTCCTACGAGCCAGAGAGCAACCGTCGACTGCCCGGCATGAAGGAAGCAATTTATATACACAAATTAAAGTCGCCCGGCCTCCTTGACCATCGAAAATATGGGAAATTTTCACTTAGCATGATTATTTATTCCTAAAAACAATTTGAGGGATTGATATAACATTTTATAGTAATAATGTAAAAATAAAAACATGTATTTCACATAAGAAATTAATATTAGTGCTAGATTTGATGTGATTGTAAAAATTTTGATGAAATAAAATAATATTTGGCACTCGATGTCAAGCCTATGAAACAAAAATTGAAAGTTGTAGTGACCACCTTGGTTGAACCTATTCGAGGCTAGTGAAGCCCAGCTCAGCAAATAGATTCTTTGGCACTAAGTGTTCATTATACCTCTCCTGAGCTTTAGAGTTAATGAACTTCTTGTTGCCAAATGAAGCTTTACCTTTGCTGGCATATGTTTTGAGGGCCATGAAAAATAAGAACAATGATAGCTAAGGCAAAAAATGAGCTTACAAATGATAGGAATGCAATCAATATGCTAGTTAAGAGGTGAATCAGCTCTCCCCTCTCTCTCTTCCTCTTCTTCGCAGTTTCCCCAAAATCTTATCAAATTCCCGGATGAAAAGGAAAATGCAAGCTTAAAGTGATGAAATTTATCTCATGAAGATTATTTTCACCCTTCAAACCCTCGAGATCGAGCTCAAAACAAGGAGAAAGGAATTCCTAAGGATCGCCCCTACATCGCCAGTGAGGAGTTGGGGAAGAAAGTCACGTGAAAAAGACCTAACCTAGGCGGTTTAAGTTGCTTAAATCGAATCGAGAACCTGGTGCCTAGGTGCCGCAAACTGGGTGCCAAGGTTCAAACATCCTCTGATCAACAATATCAACGATTTAGCTTACTAGTTGCATCTACTGGACATTTCCTATGTCAATTCTACTACAAAATCAAGATGATGTTGGTATCAAGATTATCAACCTTACGTTTTGGCTGGCTTCTTACATGTTGAATCAACATTTCTTCCAACCAAATTAAGAATAAGCAAATATTCAAATGCCAAACTTCTTCCTCTTTTTTATTTTGCTTAAATAAACACTTCAGGACTCTGTGAGTACTTGACATTAGTAATTTAAACATAAATCTTTGCTACCTTGCTCTATCGTTCCATAACTGAACTCCACCTATTTCAAGGAATTTGGCGCATTGCCACTATTCAAATTACTATTAATTGTATGCAAGCCTAAAAAAACAAGCAAGCATCAAAAAACAAAAGTTGAGGAATTTGGGAAGGCTGGATGCGGGAGGAGTTGAAATCGGGATGCGGGAAGAGGTAAGATCGGAACTCAGAGTTGGGGAGATCGGTGCACACACGTGAATCAAAAAATATTACCTTGAGAGGAACGCCTGATGCGGGCTTTCTAGCAGAGAGGGCGACGCGAATGAGAGTGTGCCACTGCGATCTTTCTCGTGGAGGGGAGGGAAGAAGCAGCTCGTTGTGGTCTCGTGGAAAGGGCGACGAGAAGGAGCAGTAGGCAGCGTGGTCCTGCAAATTCTAAGACATGAACGCGGGAGGCCCCCTACCCGCGGTCACGATCCGACATGCGTGGAGTTTTATTTGGGGGTTGTCTGATGAGGACTTATGCAGGACTTGCAAATTTCCCGTCCTACCATCTTTTTGGTCTAAATTAAGAAATTTCGCGGATTTTAGTGATGTAAATGAATAGAAAGAAAACCAGTTGATGCCTTTACCAGCAAACTCCGGTGGCTACTCTTCGCCTTCTTTTTCTGTGTTGTTTTGACTACGAGTGGAAGAGGGAGGAAGACCAGGGGTTCGGACGCCGGAATTCCGTTGATGCCTTCGCCAGCAAGCTCCCGTCGTTGATGTCTTTGTCAAATGGTTGGGTAGAATGTGAGGGAAGGAGTAGAAGAATGGAGAGCACTAAAATAATTTCTACCCCACAAACACCGTCGAGGCTTTTGCAGGCCCTTCCAGAGGCCGAATTTTTCCCTCAGGTCCCCGTAGGGTGTGCTACGTCCGCTATCCAAGCAAAACACGCCATCTGGTTTTGTGGGACCAATATTTACACGTCATGATAAAGGAAAAATTTCGTGTTAAGCCCAGCCCAACCCGACGTGCTAAATGTTACGTATAATCCCGCCTTTTTGGCGTATTTCCGCCTATTTTTGGCATATTATTCCCTCAGAAACTTTTATTTTGCATTATTCAGTAGAAAAGAAGTTTTAAGAAGTGTGAATGGGATTGGTTCAAATTTGGAACATTTTTGTTTTGGAGTCCAAAGGAAGAAACACTAGAGGATATCACTGATCCGAAGGAGAACTTCGGTGATTTCCCAAGCTATCCTATTATTTGGCTTCAATTTAGGAGAAATCATTTAGATGTTTTATCCTGCAATTTTTTATTATTTATTAGGATTTACATTTGTGTGAAGCAATCAGCACAAATAACCTTGAAGATGTGAGTATTTAGGTCGTGACAAACGACTACCTTGGAATCCTAAGACGAGTTTAGGGCTTATATTGTACAATATGGTTGTACAAAGGCCTAAAAGATATGTTTGATGATTTATGTTGCATTTAGCAAACAACCTCGAATTCCTATGGCTTTGTTGTTTAAAGCTAAGGAATGGATGTATTAGTGTAGATCCTCTTGCTGTTGAAGATGGTCAGGCTGCCCACTATGTAAGCTCCAAGCTCCTCATTGTAGCAGAGTTCAAGTTTTCTAGGTCATTTGGTTATAATGTCAAATAAGATGACCCTATAGTTAAGGTTCTTTAAATTTTATTATGGGCAGATTAAAGTTGAATAAAGCGACACCGATCAAGATCTCACGGTTCCATCGTCCCGGTACCACTATTTTCTATTGGAATCACTTAGTCCAAATGAATTTACTAAACTCAACTTAATGAGTTCCATAATTTCATTTAGACCGTGGGAAGCCTCGTTAGCAACCGTAGGTTACCTCCTCCGAGGGGTTTCCGATCTTCCAATAGAGACGTATTAATTTAGTTAAAGTTGTATTTTTTTGTGATGAGTTGTCTTATATTTTGAAATGTTGTGAAGTATTTTTTGATTTTTGTTTGAAATTTTGTTTTTGGTTTTGTTTTGTTTTCAACATGCAAGCATAAAAGAAAAGCAGTAGAAAAGTACAAGAAAGACCGTGAAATGCTCTAAACTGTAAAAGTGTACCTGACGAGTCTTCTCGTTCCACCACCTGAAACTCAAAATGCATGTCAGAGCATTTATGTATATAGAGCTGGAAAAGTAAAATTTTGGAAACCTTCCTAGCTCTATGTTGTGTATTAGAAATCTTTAAGTTTTAAGGATAATATTATTAAGTAAAACATATTTAGTTTAATAGATCCTTAAGGTATTTACCAGGTTAAGAGTAGGGAGCAGGTCCATGCAACCTTCTTAATGTCTGGTAAAAGGCCTTGGGTTCATTTAAACTTTATTACGTTACTTAATAATTCATCCTGAATATCCTGATGCTCAGTGAATATTGATGTCTTGATTATCCCTAAGAATAGGGTAAATGTCATTTGTCTTTTTAATTTAAAAATTATGTGGGTGAAGATCTTCTAGAGGGCAAATTAGTGTTATTGAGAACACTTAGCCAAATTTTTAGTCCTAATTGGACTTGTGGTGTTTTAAAAGAGTTTGATTATATTGATTTTTCTAATCCTCTTTTAACAAGTGGATTTCAACTTAAGTTCACCACTAAGTCTTTAAGACCTAAATGAATGTTTTAAGTGTGATTTTTAAAAGATTTAAAACTTTAAGTGATCATTATCAAGATCATTTAAACATCATTTTGATTATCAAATAAGGGTGTGAAATCATTGATTTCCAAAATTATACCCCTAAATTCAAAAGTCATTTTATATTAATGAAGTTTCCAAAATTTTGATAATTATGAGAATTATTCTTTTATCTTGTAATTTGATAAAATGAATTGAGTTTCTACCAATTAAGCCCATTTTTTATTGCAAATCATCAAATTAGTTAATTAATATCAGTAATTACCCATTTTCCATTTCGATTGAGCCTAAATATTTATTAAGACTAAAATATCCAAAATTACAATTTTGCCCCCAAGGGTCCAAACTTTCATAATTTGTCAAATTTAAGTCAAATGACTTTGAAATTTTTATGTAACCTTACTGATAGGTCAATTAACACATCAGAGGAGAAAATGTGAATTTTCACAATTTAATTTAATTCATATAATTATTTTTAT